CACACACACACACACACACACACACACACACACACACACACACACACACACACATTCTCTCTCTCTCTCCCACCCCCCGCTCTTCCCCCTTGCTTGCTGCATGCATTAGGCATGCCCAATCACTGAAGCAGATATCTAAGTGGCTCCCTTTCCCTTCTCCCCACCCTGCACGAAAGCCAACTCTCAAAAGGCCTCATATCAGTTTCTAGATGGCCAGCATTCAACCCAATCAAGTCCTGAAACTTCACTGAGACTCTTGAGTACTACCTTCATGATTGCATACGCACCAGTCAGACTTGCTTTCTCCAAGATATCCATCCACCACAACTCGAAGAGGTGCCGCACCTCCAATTAGATGTGAGGGAATATCTCTCAGCCGCATGATCTGGAATTCACATCATCAACAAGCAAGCAGTGAGGATCGGTTCCAAGATATAGGGTCAGGACAACTTCGACAATACGAGACAAGTCAGACGATCACGACAACAAAATCAGCACAACACATGTCAACCGACATTTTAGTGTCCAGATTTAGCTTCACTAATTGATACGAGAATCTCACTTTTGACATCCGCTTTGATTTCATAATACGTTTAGGGCAACACTTTCACTATTTCTGACTTTCCAACGAGTATACACATGGCATCTGGCATTCCAACCTGAGGGCAAATGTCGGCCATGGGCCTTCACTAAGCCTTCATGTGCTCTCTGCAACCGAAACACGCTCACTCTTTCACTGTAAATTCTCATCCCGTTGAATCTCTGGAAATGGCATCATTATCGGAATCGTTCACCAGAACAGTACCCACCTCTATAACCTTCAGAGCGCTGAGGATCTCCGTAGTGGCTACCCTGTTTACTTGTTTCCCCATACCTCCAGCTTTTCTCTGGCTTTCCAGGGTTATATCTGGCCCATCTGCAACCATTCTTTTCTTCCCCGCCTCCAACACTGAAGATGAACCCTGCCATACCCCAGGTGCAACTTCGCACATGGTTGAGTTTCCTGCTCGGCACCGGTCACCTCCATCCTGATTTCCATGGGCAGCATTATTGCATCGACCATTCTGCAAGGAGCGAGGAGAGGAGGCACTGATCTCTGCGCACCACCTCTGAATATCGTCCCACGTACGCTTTTGCCCTGCATCATGAAGTCCGTAGCGAGCCATTAGACCTGCATCACTCGCACAGCTGAGAAGCGAAACCCCCTTGAGGTGCAACTGGACATCCTTCTCTTTCGCTGCAGATCCATCCCCGGCACCATCCTTCCCCGCTTCCACCGGCTTCGGCGGATCGACACGGTTCTTAGGTTCAACCCCATTGATTTGGCGGCCCAGATCGTCTCCTGCAATAACGAACTTGCCCCTCCACGCTATACACGGCTCTAATACTAATGGTAACTCGAAGTTGTGGATGGGATTTGTCCGTTCACTGCCGTCATCTGGACCATACGATGATCGGAGCGTTATCCAATGCAAATTAGCCCCAAGAAGTCTCGCTAAACGTTCCATATCGTCCCTACTTCTCGATATTTCTACGAAACCGTTGCTGTAGAGATTCCCCTCCTGATAATCTGGCCATGGTGAAGCAACAATATGGAGCCTTACCAAATCCTGATGTGCATCTTTGATCTGGAACAATGCATCGACGGCAATGGTCGTTGCAGCATGCAGCTTGCGCGATGTCGGTGGACCCTCCGAAAGTGCCCATGCTGGTGTTGCCCACACCTGCGCAAAAGGAACAGCCCCGCAGATGTTCCATTTCGGTTAACAGGAAGAAAAAAAAAAGCCAACGGAGACAAAGACTTGCTACCGTGAGTAATCGAGACTTGAAAGAATATGCTGCAGGACTACTGTCATCCCCCAAACACAATGCACACTCATTTTGCCTGCACCGAACTGGAAAGATAGCTTGTATACATTCACTGTCAGGGTGTGTTGCGTTTGGGGGAAGACAGTAGGAATACTGTGAGTTCAGCCCAATGATTATAAGAATAGGAATAACATGAGCTCCTCGTTCCCTTCTTGTCACTGTAACTTTTGTTATCCTTCAATGCAATCAATGTCACGAATACCGCCTTCAACATCCATATTGTCATAGGAAATGTGCTATGTCATGGGAAACGATGAGGGGATAATCGAGCCCTCTAGACGAAAGCTTGCCTGCCTGCAGCAGCTTGCAGCAATCACATTGAGCCACTGCATTTGCCCGTGCCACTGCACACAGACCTTGGTCGCAAATGCACGTGGTTACGTAGGCATGAATACACACATCAAAGCACTCTGGGCGATTAATGAATGATCATTGAATACCAGTTTAATATTGCCGATGTGCAAAGCCACTGCATCTGCAGGTTCGTGTTATGAGATGTAATAATACAGGAACGCAAAGAGCTGTGGAACACAAGAAGAGCGTTCCGGCACACAACCTCCCTACATCTGTCTGCAATGCATCTTCCTTCAAACAGTGTTTCGGCCTTCTCTCTCTCTCTCTCTCTCTCTCTCTCTCTCTCTCTCTCTCTCTCTCTCTCTCTCTCTCTCTCTCTCNTCTCTCTCTCTCTCTCTCTCTCTCTCTCTCTCTCTCTCTCTCTCTCTCTCTCTCTCTCTCTCTCTCTCTCTCTCTCTCTCAATCTATCTATCTCTATCTATCTATATATCTATCTATCTCTACCCAATCAAGACAGAAGCAGCTGTGCCAGCAGAATTGAGCAACCAGCCATCCATTTCTGTCCTGATTGGCAAATACCAGCCTTTCTGAATGCCCCTTGCTCCCTTCTATGCCTAATGTCTCCTGCTCTTCATCTTGAAATTTTGTGAGCCCTCTCAACCTTTGTTGTATCACCTCCCCCACCCCCGCCCCCGCTCTTTCTCCCTTAACCTCCACGTCATTCAGCAGGAAATGGGCACAGGAAGCACTCAGATAATCTCAACAACGTGACACAGTTGCATAATCTTCACATGTGACAAAAGGTGCTGATCAGCAAGCCCTTCAGCCAAGTACGGACCCTCCCTCCACGAGTGACACAAGGTCCTGCACGTGCGTCCTTCGGGACATCCATTAAAACTGGAACAATACAGAGAAGATTAGCATGGCCCCTGCGCAAGGATGACACACATAAATGGAGAAATGGTCCTTTGAAAAAAAAGGAGAAAACGGTTGTGCATGTGCATGACGTAGTGGGGCAGCAGAGTTGGATGGACATTCGTTGACGTACAAGAAGTAAGTGCACAGCAGAGTCGAACCATTTTGTTGACGTTGCCAGAAGTAATCACACTGTGCCCTGATTCCCCAAACAGCAGTCGATACTTCTGTTGGGGAGAAATTTTGGTACCACTAACTCCAGTTCAGTTTGATAATCTCACTAAAGCCGCTTTGTAGTGTCACTCGTGGCATGCTGATGTCTGACTCGTCAGGCTGCAAATTCCATAGAGCCCTTTTCTTTCTCATTGTTATAAAATCGGCGACCAGGGGTAACTTGGTGTTTGTCGGCGGTGGCAACAACGCCTCCGATGTTGGGTTTTGCAAGCTCTGCGAAGAACGGTCTAATTATTGCTTGGATGGAGAAACTACTGCCGTGCTTCAAGCATTGGCAATTGTGGGTGCAACCACAACCTTTCGCCTCAACTGCTTCCAACAAGCTGCACCACATGCGGTCCGCGGTCCGCGATACGTTATTGCAGACAGGTGTGTGGACATTTCAATTCCTGTTCAACTACGCAAAAATGGGGAACCTTCCACTTGAAATGTGCAATCAAACGGGAAGTGAAAAGGGCTATAACCCAAAGAAGAAAGGAAAAACAAAAAGAGGAAATCCAAAAGTAAGACAGGAAAGGAAAAACAAAAAGAGGAAATCCAAAAGTAAGACAGGAAAGGAAAAACAAAAAGAGGAAATCCAAAAGTAAGACAGGAAAGGAAAAACAGAACAGAACAAGGGAAAAAGAAGGGTTTAAATGTCATAAGAAAGAAAAAAGAGAACAGAAAAAAGGGAAAAAGAACGGTTTCAATGCCACAAGAAAGAAAAGGAAGAAGAGAACAGAAAAAGGGAAAAAGAAGGGTTTCAATGTCACAAGAAAGAAAAGGAAGAAGAGTATCCCTAGAGTAACTTTTATCCGTTGAGCGACGGCCCTTCCACTAGGTACCGTCGGATCACTAAGGCCGACTTTCGTCCCTGCTCGACGAGTCAGCTTGCAGTCAAGCTCCCTTTTGCCTTTACACTCAATGGCTGATTTCCGTCCAGCCTGAGGGAAACTTTGCACGCCTCCGTTACCCTTTGGGAGGCCTACGCCCCATATAAAAAGGGGAAAACAACGGTTTCAGTGTACCTTCCACTCCCCTCCTGCCCTGTTCTTGCTGTCTGCTCCTTTCTTCATCCATTTCGCAAATGTGCTCTTTGTTGGTAGGTATGTGACTGTATATGCCACCACCCACCTTTCCTCATGTCTCCTTGCCATGCTTCCTTCACATGCCGTTTACACAATGCGCCCCTAGATCCATTTGTCCTACCCCAATTTCCCAGACTCCCTCCTCCCAGATAGATTCCTGTCAGCGTACACAAGTGCATTCCTACAACCGTCTTCCTCCAAACATAATGCAGCCTGATTATGAATGCATACAAGCTATTTTTCTGTCCCGGTGCAGGCAAAATGAGGGTGCGTTGTGTTCAGGGGAAGACGGTAGTACCTGCCGGTTGTGAGGGAAACGGAGGGAATAAGAGTTGAATATGTACAAGCTATTTTTCTGGCCCGGTACACAGGCAAAATGAGTGTGCGTTGTGCTTGGGGGAAGACGGTAGCACCTGCTGGTTATGAGGGAAACGGAAGGGATAAGAGAGCAGATGAAAGTTCACAGAACCGTCCGAGAAACTTCTTATTGTTTTTCTCTTTCCTGTGCGAATGGAGGCCAAAAAAAAAACTTTTGTAGTATTGTTCAGGTAAGCGACGTATATGGCGGATGTGATGACGGGCAAGCATTGAGGCCAAAAGCGATGGAAGGGGAGGGAGGGGGGGGAGGGAGGGGCGGGCGTGCACGGGGGCAGTGTGCATTTAGGGCTCACCACATCCACGATAGCTCCCTTTGGCAAACTCTGAATGAGCAAATTTACACAGTGAAAAGAAGACTCCAAGCTTGAAGAAGAGTGCCGGAAAATGTCCTCCACCTGACCATCATCGACAGGGTCCTTTCTGCCCTCTGCCTGCCCCCACAATTTTTGCTGAGTCTCCCCGGTTGCGATCCCCAGAGCACGTTTAGAGAGCTCCCGTAGCGCAACGTCAACAGGCAGCCAATCCCCACAGGAAGGGGTTCGAACCTGGTCACATCCGCTCAGACATCCAACACCTTGTGAGGATCCTGGATCGTCCCGTCCACCAAAGCTTTGCAATCGTGGCTCAGAATTCCCCGCATCTGGACACTTCTTCCTCAAGAGACTAGTGGGCAAATCATTGCTCTTGGTGTGCGTAAGCTTGTTGATGTCACCACTCTTCCTCGCAGCGGACGAAGACCCCGACCCATCGAAGCGGTTGCAGACAGGATTATCGATAAGGCCGCCCGAGAACTCCGCTGCCACTGACCCCCTTTCGCTCCCAACCACCTGCCCACAGCGTTTCTCTAGGGCGCCTGATGCTGTTCCCCTCGGGCCCGAAGAGCAGGTTCCTGCAGCAGCCTTGCTCTGACATGCAGGCTCGGCTCCCTCCGTCTGTGGAAAATTCTGATTTGCGACCGTCGATGCAGGCCAGAGGCTGGCAATGGAAACCTGTGTCTCAGGAGCCCGCTCCAGAAATGATAACCCTGCAAAGTCAGTCTTTGTTACAATCAAATGGTTCATGATCCCTCTGCCAAAACCTCAGGTCAGGTCCCTAGACAGGCAGAAAAAGCCACCAAATTGACGGGCAAACCTACCGTCTTCACCCGAATACAACGTACGTTCATTATTGCTGTATCTAGACTCAATGTTGCCTCAAATACAGCTATAATAACGGTACGTTGTACTCGGGTGAAGACGTTAGCAAGCTCGTATCTTCTGTTCTCAAGCTGAGGGCTCCAGGACAAAGAACATATCAGGGTAAAAGAATTGAAAACGAAAAGGTAAAAACAAAAAGGTCATGTCCATCGGGACATCCGTTAAAATTGGAACGATTCAGAGAAAGAAGATTAGCATGGCCCCTGCGCAAGGATAAAACGCATAAATTGAGAAATGGTCCAAATTAAATATAAAAAAAAAAATGGTCATTTCTACCCTGCTTCTGCCACCAAGCAGCACAATAAGACTGACTGAGTGAAAAAAGGTAATTTCTACCCCGCTTTTCCCACCTGACAGCACAATATATGTTCTGCACATCGCACAGAAGCACCCCTAAATACCTTTTTCTTTTTTCATCCATAAATCCAAGAATTTCACCTCTGACAATGGAATACGAATGCCCCCACCATCCGTCTCTATTAATCATATTACTACTCCAATCCCCAAGACCAACGAAAATAGGACCACAGTCCTATCACGTTATTCCATGCTAATAATAGGTATTTAGCTACTAATAGTTATTTAGCTAACGACCAACGAAAATTACCATATCGTTGTTTATGGTATTTAGCTGAACTTCGTCGCAATGTCCACGTGTATCCGGATGAGTAGGGGAAACTCCGACCAAACAGTTTGTCACAGCCCCTCGTTTGCTGTCCTCTTCTCCCTCCCTCTCTGCCTACGGTTTACCATAGGCAGCTCTGTTTGACGATATATATTGTCACAAGAGTATCAGAGCGCAAATGCGAACAAAAAGGAAAAAAGAAAGAAAAACAAGAAAAAAACATGAATTCAGTTTTTATCTTCTTCCTTATAACTCCCCCTGTTCAGAACCTCTTGCGTACAAGGCCGCCCATATATATCGTCACAAGCATATCAGAGCGCAAAAGCGAAAAAAAGGAAAAAGAAAGAAAGAAGGAAAACAGGAGAAAATGAAACAACAATAACCAAAACAAAATCTGCCATATCCATAGTAAAAAAACGGAACCATACAGTAGGTCCGCAAAACGGAGTACCCCAACCACGGGGAAAAGTAAGCAGTAAAGAGAGTATCAAAATTATTTTCTACCATAAGCAAAGAAGAGCCTGCTGGTACAGGCCCGACGCTCGCCGCATCATCTGCAAAAGCAGAGAGCTAGCAACGCCGGAGTATATATACATATATACAGTGTATGTTGTGGCTGTGACAGACCTTTCTGTGTTTCGTATATGGAGCGTATTATCTGGCTGTGACAGCGGGTGTTGTGCTGCCTGGTGATGGGGTGAGAAGCTTCGACGTAACAGTTTGTCACAGCCCCTCGTATATGGAGTGTATTTTCTGGCTGTGGCAGCGGGTGTTGTGCTGGCTTGTGATGGGGTGTGAACCTGCAGTCTGTAGAGTTTCCCTTCCCGTCTGGTGTGGGTGAGCGATCGCCTGCTTTGATTTTTGTCATTCTTGCTCTTTAGAGATAGAAGAATAATGGTTCCAATTGGCCACGCTAAGTTGGTACACTCAATGAACTACACTCAATGAACGGATCAAATACAGATCCCAGTTCGAATCCAGATGCAATCAGAGATAAAATAACGAGCCTGGTTCTGTTTAATGAAAAACCTCAAAAAAGAATAACGGCCTCGCTGCTGGATCTACATCTGTTTGGTGTGGAGTTCAGTCCTCCCTCCCTAAGCAGATTACGAACACAGTTCTCGCAAGGTATCCGTTGCCGGGCAGTAGTTTATTTATGCTTAATCACAACTAACTGGGGTTAAGTAAGGTGGAGTATCACGTGCAGTATCATCGGTGAGGGAACTTTGCAGACTGTAGAGGGTGCAGCCTCCTGATGAGTCGCCGGTATTGTTTATGACTTGTTATATAGTTACAGGTACATCTACATATACATACTACCTCTGGCTCGAGCTAGAGGTAGTATGTATATGTAGATGTAGTCGATTGATCTTTAGAAATCGTCGTAGCGGAGGTTTATTTTGAACACAAACTAATTGTATTGAGCCGTAGTTTGTGCCAATATACATGTCTATTTATACACATGAATATATGTACATATGCATACATATCGTCATAAAGAACTCCCCGGTTATGACTGAGAATCTACATAGCAAACAGAGTATCCTCGAACAGAGCTGCCCGGTAAACCGTAAGCAGAGAGGGAGAAGAGGACAACAAACGAGGGGCTGTGACAAACTGTTACGTCGGAGTATCGCCGACACATCCGAAGGCTATGTAATATGACGATATATATATCGTCAAATAGAATATATATATCGTCACAAGCAGAACTGCCCGGTAAACCGTAGGCATATATATATATATCGTCACAAACAGAACTGCSCGGTAAAACCGTAGGCAGAGAGAGAGAAGAGGACAATAAACGAGGGGCTGTGACAAACTGTTTCGTCGGAGTTTATATATATATATATATCGTCAAATAGAACTGCCCGGTAAA